AGACCCTAAGGAGGGAATATACCTGGTATGTTCAAGGAGCAGTAAGGAGGCTAACGCAGCTAGAATAGAGTGAACAAGGGTAGGGGATGACATCAAATTGATAAGGGAAGAGAACTGTTAGATCATGTAGAACCATGATAGGGCCTTATCTTTTACACAAAGTGAGATGGGAAGCCACTGGGGACTTCTGAATACAGGAAAGATGATCTGACTGACTTTTTAAAAAGATTTCCAGTATATGAAATGCTGGAAAGGTGGACAATTATTGGGGTGATGTCCTTGAGAAGGGAATAAAAGATGAGGTCTAGTGCACCAGTAGTGAAAATGGACTTAAGATAGCAGCAAAAGCTAGCTGCCAGTGGCTCACACCTGTAATCCTAGCTACTCAGATGGCAGAGATCAGGAGGATCACGGTTCAAAGCCAGCTCAGGCAAATAGTTCTGTAAGACCCTATCTCGAAAAAGCCCTTCACAAAAAAGGGGCTGGTGGAGTGTTTCAAGGTGTAGGCCTTGAGTTCAAGCCCCAGTACAGAAAAAAAAAAAAGACAGCAGCAAAGAAGTTCTTTCACAGTAGTAAAAGGAGGGCATAATATATGGGTGCACATGCAGGTAGGATAGTAGATATGGTGGAGGCATGTTGACATACTTCTCTGATTACTTTTATCTTTCAGAAAAAGAGAATACACAATTGTTACCAGTGGGGTGTGAGAACAGATGAGAGATAGAAGAAATGTTCTAAAGGTTTGACATCATTACATTTGTAGTTTGAACAGACAATAAGCAAGCAAATAAGTAATTCTAATTTTTTCAGTGTAATACAAAGAAAAAACAAGGTACTATGATAGAGAATAAATGGAATAAACTCACTTAAATAAGGTGAACCTTTTGAAGAGGTAAAACTTAAGTTCCATTTATCTTTTAAAAAAACTTGATATTTGGGGTAGAGCGGGATGGGGAAAGGTTGATAAGTAATGGTTAGATAGGTGTAAGCTCTAGCATGCTATTACACAATAGAGTGAATTACAGATAGTGACTATATACTGCATATATGAAAAAGGTACAAGAAAGGATTTCAAAATATTTTTGCCATAAAGAAGAGACAAGGCCAGGTGGCTCAGGTAGCTACATGGGAGGCAGAGATTGAGAGGATTGCAGTTTGAGGCCAGCCTGGTCAAAAAGTTCACAAGACCTCATCTCAACCAATGGCTGTGTGTGGTGGCTCATGCCTGTCATCCTAGCTATGGGGAGAGGGGAGAAGCACAAATAGGAATATCATGGTCTAGGTGGGCCTGGGCATAAAGTGAGACCCTATCTCAAAAATAACCAATGCAAAAAGGGCTGGCATGGTTCAACTTGTACAGCACCTGCCTAGCAACCATAAGGTTCTGAGTTCAACCACCAATAAAAAAAAAGACAACATTTGAGTAGATAGATATGTTTAACCTGATCACACAATGTATTCATATAACAAAGCATCACATGGTAACTATCAATGTGTATAATTTTTGTTTTTATTATGTATCAGTTTAAAAATAATTTCAAAATGTTGATATATTTTAAAGTTGTGAAAAAAAAAAAGCATAAGGGATAATGTAACATCCATATTCCTACCACTCACAATGAATGCTATCAATGTTGCTATTTTTTGCTTTAAATATTTTTAAAATTAAAAGTAATAATACAGCATCTGGTAAATATTTACTAAATACTTATTATTGTGTATTTAATGAATGCATTCTATCAAATATTACAGAAAAATTTAGCTTGCCCAACAAGAGCTTAAGTAGTAAAAACTTATAAAACTTATATTTTGAACTCCCAAAATATAAAATTATTTATAAGAACTTTAGTAGCAATTTAGTTTGTTGAATCCCCTCAACATAATCAGCTTCTTATTTTTAAAAAATAGTCAATGATAGGAATCACTACCTCTGGAAGAATCTCATTTTCAAATATTTCTTAGAATAATATTCTTCATATTTATCTATTGTTGCCTCTTTTAGTTTTCCATATACAGATCTTAGTTCTGTTTGTAGTTAAAAAAGACAAATCAAATATATTTCCTGTCCCACTGTGGTCCTTTAAATATTTAAAAACAGCTAGCAAGCTTCATAGATCTTCTTATCTTCATAGCAAAAAATTCTGACCCCTTGTATTATTCCTCATTGTTCTTCTGATATCCTGCTCTATTCTAGTTGCTCTCCTTCAGATACTCAGTTGGTAGTGGTATTCAGAACCAAATGCAATATTTAGGTGTTACCTAATGATTACTTCCTGTTTTCTGCAGCTCAAGTCTAAACTTTTCTGTAAATCTGACTATATAATTGAATTTTCAGTGCCTACAACTTTTCAGTCCTTTACATACATGTTGTTAAGCCACATCATTCTCTTTGGCTCTTAATACATCCTGGTTGCCAGCAAACTGAGATAATTCTAGCTCTAACAGCATGTGCTAATATTGTTGGAGTTAAAATGCTTGTCGTTGTACTTGACAGCAGGTGGGTGATCTCTCATGAGGTAAGAGACTGCCAAGTTTGATTCTGGTGCCTCTCTAAGCTCTTAGCTGAATGTACCACAGGGCCAGGGCCAGAAGTGTTTACTTTGAAAAAATTAAGAATGTTCGAGTATGGCCCACTATCACTTTCAAAGTGTGGAAATTGGGCTGGTGGAGTGGCTCAAGTGGGAGAGTGCCTGCCTAGCAAGTGTGAGGACCTGAGTTCAAACCCCAGTATCACTAAAAAAAAAAAAAAAAAAAAAATCAAAGTGTGGAAATTACCCTTTTTTTTTTTTTTTTTGAGGCAGTCTCACGGTGTACATAGCCCAGGCTGGCCATGCACTTGAGATCCTCCTGCCTCACCCTTCCCAGTACTGGGATTATAGGTACGCATCACCATGTCCAGCTAATTATCCATTCCTGACCTGGGGAAGTAGTGCCAACAATAAACAAAAAACAAAACCAAAATAGGACTCTTTCAATACCTTGTGACTGGAATTAGTCCAGTTTAAATACTTTAATGATGGCCCATTAAGTTAAATAGGCCTAATATATCTTCTTTTCATTGTTTTCCATTAATTTAATCTTCTAAAACCTTGGTCTGCTGTGAAGTCTTCTGTTATTTCTGAATCCTTCTACCTTGCATTCCCCCCAAGAGTCAACAATCCTAATTTTTTTCCTTTTTTTTTTTTTTGTGGTACTGGGGTTTGAACTCAGGGCCTTCACCTTGAGCCACTCCACCAGCCCAATTTTTTGTGATAGGATTTTTTGAGATAGTCTCATGAACTATTTGCCCAGGCTGGCTTCAACTGCAATCCTCCTGATCTCTGCCTCCTGAGTAGCTAGGATTACAGGCTAAGTCACCAGCACCCAGCTTTTTTGATTTGTAAAAGAGCTCTGTGGCCAATGATCACCAAAAAATTATCCTTTTGATAATCTCTTTTCTTTTTCAGTGGGTCTAAGGTTTGAACTTGGCGTCATGCCCACAAAGCAGGTGCTTTACAGCTGAGTCACACTTCTAGTCCATATTGCTCTGGGTTTTTTTTGGGGGGAGGGGTTCTCATGAACTTTTCGCCTGAGCTGACCTCAAACTGTGATCCTTCTGATCTCAGCCTCCTAAGTAACTACAAGTACAGGCATGAGCCATGGGCTGAAACATGTGTCTCTCACAACAGAAGCCCTTTTTTCCCTCAACCCTTCTAATTTAATCCATAAATATGCACATTTTTTATATCTTCTCCATTAATAAATGTAAATAATAAGGTTACTTCTGGGAAAAATTCTGTGACACAGCACTAGTCTTCACTCAGATTTGACACTAATCCATGAATTGGCTCCTTTGACCTATAGTCATTTAACTGGAGAGGATCATTTAAATATAGAATTATCTAGCCCACGTTTCTCAAAATTTGTGAGTTAGTAGAGTTCACAGTGATAATTCCTTACCATTTAATTTTCTATTCCAGAATTTTTCTTTAGCTTGAAACATTAATTCTTCTTATTAAAAATCAGAATATTTGACTGAAATCACTGATTTTAATTAAGATAAACCTTTCTGATTTATCTTAATAAAACCTGACATCAAGAAAACAATGTATTCTATGTGAAAAGTTTTTTTTTTCTTTTTTTGTGATGAATAGAACCCATGGATTTGTGCATGCTAGGCAAGTACTCTATCACTGGGCCACACCCCCAGCCCTAGATGTATGTTTTTTAAGCATATTTAAATTTATTTAAATTATATACCATGCTGTTGGTTTTAATCTTAGGAACCTGAAATTTAACATACTTTAGTGGAAACTATGATTCAATGCCAGTGTTTTTACAATCCTCAATAAGCTATGTTAGTATGTAAACATCAGCCTTTCCCAATGATCTTTTAGGTAAGAAATGCACATTACAATAACAATACTACACAAGGAGCCTGCTCTGAAAAGCAGAAATGACTATTTAAATTACTGTGGTGCAAAATTCAAACAGCAACATGATGATATTCAAGTTTTACTCTTAGTAACAATCAAGATTAATGATCGATCCATACATATGTAAACAAAAAGAGAGAAAGGAAAAGAAACAGAAATAGATAAAAAAAATAAAGCTGGTGCACACCAGTATCCCAGTACTCAGGAGGCTTAGGCCTGAATTCCAGGCCTAAATTGTGAGACCCTGTCCCAAAACAACAACAGCTGGGCATCAGTGGCTCACACTTGTAATCCTAGCTACTTGGGAGGCAGAGATCAGGAGGATCGAGGATTGAAGCTCCAGTAAATAGTTTATGAGATCCTATCTTGAAAATACCCAACACCCACCCTCTCCAAAAAAAGGGCTGGTGAATGGCTCAAGTGGTAGAGCACCTATCTCCCTAGCAAGCGTGAGGCCCTAAGTTCAAACCTCAGTACTGCCAAAAAACAAACAAAAAAAACCAAGCAAACAAACAAAATGTTAAAAAGAAAATTAGATGAACAGAAAATAAAGATTACATATATAAAGTATTTTTAAATCCTTACCTCCTCACAGCATCGCCTACTTACAATAGCCCTATAGTCAATTCTATCCCAGAGCTGGTCCCTTAACTTTAAGAAATTGGGGAACAATTTTCTCCAGTTTTTCCCTAAAGCCCATGGAAAAATTTCATACTTGGCTTCTTCTTCATCTTCTTCAACTGTATTAGCCAGATACCTAACAAAAGAGGACCAACAACCCAAAAAAAGAAATGGGTAAGGATAGGAACAGGAGCTAACCAAAAAAGAAATACAAATGGCTCATAAACACATAAAAGAAATGCATATCAAAAATAGAGATATAATGAGTTTTACCTTGTTGGGTTCTGGGATTTTGTATTTCTACAAATCTTGAGCTTTGTTCTGGGGTACAATTAAGTTGCTTGGAAGCAATCTGATCTTTTGGGTCTTGCTTTCATGATTTCTTAGATGCATGTGGAACAAAGTTCAGTCTGAACTAATTATTCCCCATTACTGAGACAAGACTTTCCTGAGTACTTTTTAAAAAAAATATATCTAGTCTTTGCCTTTGAACTTTAGGAAGCTTTGTTCTGAGACAGAGTATGCCTATATATCCCCAAGCTGGCCTTGAACTCATCTTCCTGCCTCAGTATCCTGAGCACTGGGATTGCAGCTGTGCACCATCATGCTTGGTTCTGAGTACTTTTTTTTCTTCTTGGTGCTGGGTATTGAACCCAGGGCTTTACACATGTTAGACAAGTACTCTACCATTTGAGTTATGCTCCTAGGCCCTTTTGTTTTTATTTTGTTTTTGAGTCAGGGTCCTACTAACTTTTCCTGGGCTGGCCTCAAACTCAAGATCCTTCTGCCTCCCCCTCCCAAGTTGCTGGATTACAGGCATGAACCTACACACCCAGCTTGAGTACTTTTCAGAAGATTCCATGCATTTTAACTCTCCATTCTGGCTGGTAGGAACAGGAATTATTTCAAATCTTATGTGAATGAGTGTTAAGGCACTATTTCCCCTCATATTTTCTTGCCATCTTTCCTTAGACTCACATAGTTTCCTTATATACATATGGAAATCAAGTACCTAGTACTTGAGGGGGATCAGGTATAGATGGTAACAGAAAAGCACAAATCATAATAAGGAAAATAACCATCCAATAAAAACTAATCCAAACTGTCACAGACAAGAAGTGTTAAAACAGTTAAAACTATTCTATATGCTCAAAAAAGTAGACTAAAAATGTACTTCTAGAGATGAAAACTACAATGTGGACAACGAAAAATACACTGAATTGGATTAATGCCAGATTAATACTGGAGAAGATTTGTGAATTGAAGACACAGCAATAAAAATCTATCCAAAATGAAACATGCATGACAAAAACTAAACAAAAATCATGAAGAGAGCATTAGTTAGATATGGTATAACCTCAAGAAATCTAAAAAAGATGAATTTGGAATCTCTGAAAGGCAGCAGGTGGAAAGAAAAGTAACTGAAGAAATAATGGCTGCAAATATTCAACGTTTGATGAAAACTATAAATCCACAAAGAAGCTCAATGAACAAGAAACAAGAAAGCACAAGAAACAAAGAAAATTACACCAAGGTACATTATAACCAAATTGCTCAAAACTAATAGTAAGAAGAAAATCTTAAAAGGAGTCAGAAAAAGAGATATGTTTGGATAATACAGAAACAAAGATAAGGATAGAACAAATTTTTCATCAGAAATAGTGTACTTTTTTGGAAAAATCTGTAACTTAACAACAAAATATTACAAAAGACACAGGGAACAAGATACCAGGAATAGAAACAGACCTTGAAGTCTGAAGATGCAGGAATTAATAGACAGAATACAAAAATAACTAATCTGTGGAAAAATTAATTGGTATAAGGGATAAATATATTTAAAAATTAAAAAACAGAACACTTACAAATGAAAATGTGCAAAATTTTTATAATGAAATAAATATATTAACTCAAGTTGATGATCAAGTTAGTAATGAAAAGATATATCTAAATGCATTTACTCAAGATGCAGTCCAGAGAAACTAAGATAGAACATGTCAAGAATTACGGTGGATGGCACAGGAAGGCACACCCTCCCCCTTCCCCACTCACCAGCCACTCACATGAGCCCAACTGCTTCTTTTGTATGACATCCATAATGGAGGGCCAGAAACAGTCCTCTTGACCCACTCTGCATCCTGTGTGGTGAGGAGCCCCTGACTGCAAGTTCCCAATGGAGGATGCCAACAACTCACTGCCCTGCACCAGTGGCACCAAGTGTTGCTGTAGGTTCTTTAAGTGTGGCAATGGCTGCCCATCAGGAATCCTCACACCCCCCCCCCAACGCTGCCATCTTGCATCTAGCCTGGGAGTTCACTATTCCTTCCTGGAGCATCTCGTTCCCACCCTCCTGTTCATTGTGGATGTGGGAATACAGAGGACAAAAGCCCAGCCTCCACTACTCCAGCTCACCTAGGAATCACCCTCTTCCTGCTGTAAGGCCCGAGATATAGATATTGTACAAAGGTTTTTTGTTTTCTTCCCCCTCCCTTTTTTTGGAGGGGGTACTTGGGACAGGGTCTCCATATGTAGCCCAGGCTGACCTTGAACTTGGGTCCTTCTGCCTTAGCTTCTTGGGTGCTGGTTTACAGTCATGTACCACCACACCTGGCTTATACAAAGGTTTCTAAATCTTTTCTTTTCTATGTACTTTTTAATTCAAGAGGGTGGGGGTTTAGATGGGAATCTCCCACAATAGAGCCTGGAAATATATGGGAAAAAAGAAAATGTTAAAAATAAGGGATGTTGAAGATAGAATGAGGTCTAACATGCTTAACTAGTTTCAAAAGGAGGTAACAGAGGAGATGGGGAAGAGGAATATTTGAAGAGGCAGAGGCTAGAATTTTCTAAGAGTTGTTTGTTGAAAGGTATCAATCTTCAAACCAAGAAAGCTCATCAAATCCCAAGCAGGTTATAATAAGAAAACAGTGCCAAACACACAGGCACGTGCACATACACACATGATCTTAAAATCATCTGGAAGGCAAATAATCCCAAGTGATTCTTGAGTGCCAAGAAGGATGTTAAGCACAGATATAAATGCATGGATAAATCTTGGGGCTGAGGAGGTAGCTCAGTGGTACAGCATTTGCCTAACATGTGCAAGGCTCTGGGTTCAAAATCCCCAGTACCACAAAAATAAAGTTGAAAAACACATGGGTAAGTCTAAACAAACATTAAATGTATAAAACAGTAATAATAATGTCTAACTTTTTAGAAGGCATTAGGTAGAACTACCAAGTTGCAGAATGAGAGAATATAAGTTGGGTAGAAAGTGATTAAAAATGCTTAAGCTTCTTGTGATAAAAATAACTAGACAAGTGCTAGAAGGATTTAGACTTTATAACTTCCAAAACAGATGAAAAAAATAGATGTCAAACAATCAGAAAATTTCAGTAAAAAGAAGATAGGCTGGGCACCAGTGGTTCACACCTGTAATTCTAACTACTTGAAAGCACCGAATCCTAACCACTAGACTACCAGGGAGATACTCTAACTACTTGAAATAGCAGTTCAAGGCCAGCCAGGGGCAAACAGTTTACAAAATCTCCATCTCTAAAATAACCACAGAAAAATGGACTGGATATGAGGCTCAAGCATTAGAGTGCCTGCTTTGCAAGCACAAAGTCCTGAGTTCAAACCCCAGTCCCACCAAAAAAAAAAAAAAAGATAAAAATGGAGGGGAAAGAAGAAACAAAAAATGGGACAAAAAGAAAGTATGAGCTGGGTGTGGGGGTACAGGCCTGTAATCCCAGCCACTCAGGAGGCAGAGGCAGGAGGATCACAAGTTTGAGGCCAGCCCGGGAAAAGATAGGAAGACCCTGTCTCAAACCCCAAAACAAAAGTGCTGGGGGCATATGGTGGAGCATTTGCCTAGCATGTATGAGATGCTCAGTTCAATCCTCAGTAACACACACACACACACACACACACACACACACACATGACGACAGAAGAAAATCCAAATATATAAGCAACAATGGAATATTATTCGGTTGTAAAAATGACTAAATTACAGCTGCACATATCAATGTGAGTATGAAAAGCATCTTATAAAGTAAAAGAAGGCCACAAAAGAATAGAACATGAGTCTTATATAGCACTGAAACCATACAATATATTGGGACATACACATTAAAGGAAAGCAAGAAAGTAATTACTGTGGAAAGGAAGGGGCTCTGATTGGAAAACTCTGCTGGGACCCTCTAAGATTCTGACACAGTTCTATTCTTAAAATGTTATGGGTACATAAGTATTCCTTTTACTTACACACACACACAGTTCACTCTTTTGTACTTGTTTTGCATTAAGAGAATTAAGAGTACAAAAGAATGTATATAATACACTTCTATTTATACAATGCATACACATGCTGGCTCATGTATGGAGAATTACTTTTAGGCAGATGCATATGAAACTGTTAATTTGTCCTCCAAGAATGAAGCCAAGGACTGAAATGGGAGACTTAGTAGACTTACTTTTTTTCTTTTTTTGGTGTGACTGGGGTTTGAACTCAGGGCTTCCCACTTGCAAAGCGGGCACTCCACCTAGTCCATTTTGCTGTGGTTATTTTGGAGATGTGGTCTTGAGAAGTATTTGCTTGGGCTGGCTTCAAAATGCAATCCTCCCAGTCTCACCCTCTCCCAGCTAGGATTAGCTGCATGAGCCACCACTCCCAGCAATTATACATATTTTAATATTATCTTACTATAAAGTTATTAATGTTAAACTCAGTTATATAAGTCAAATCATGTCCTTTGTTGAAATTACATACAGAATTTCTTATTTTACTTTCCCTTACAACTCTTAGCAAAGGGTAAATAGAGCTGGAGATTGGTCTTGTATATGCTTGCTGACTAAAATGTGGAAACTCCACACTATACTATGTTATACCAGAACTTCACTATGATTTTACTTTAGCTTAGCAATTTTTCAGGCTTGAAACAGCTGTAATGTGTGTGTGTGTGTGTGTGTGTGTAAAAGTTCTCTATAATTTGAAATAGATTTCCATGGTGTAGAGCCCATTTCTTTTCTTTTCTTTTTTTTTTTTAACAGTACTGGGGATCGAATTTATGGCTTCACATGTTAGGCAAACACTACCACTGAGTTATATCCCCAGCCCTCAGCCCTCCGACTCCATTTCTTTTCCACAATAAAGAATTAAGAACCTTTTATGTTAGTCACTGAAGGATGAAATAAAAAATAGAAAAAATGCATGTTCCTTGCCCTTTAGGGAGTCTATAGTTAAGTAGAGGAGACAAGTAAGTATGAAATAAATAACTGTAAAAGAGAATATGGAAAAATAATAATAGTAGTACAGAGTGTTATAAGAATATTGAAAGGAAACATTACAAGACAACATGGAAAGGTAAGAACTCGAGCTTTAGAACTGTGGTTAGCAAAATATTTAATGGTAAGAACTACCAAGTCAGGCTATACAAAAGTATGACTAGACATAGAATGGAAATTATAATTCATGTTATATTTGGTGGTACTTAGGTTTAAAAATTTGTGTTGTTTTTGATATAAAGCTTATATATAATACAACATGCAATGCAACCCCACAGACTACTATATAACAAAAGCTAAACAGTGCTTTAATGGTAATAACTTTACAAAATAAGTAAAAACAAATTCAATTTTAGGCTTCTAGTAAAGTAACACCTCTTTTGGTTTCTTTTTAATTCTCAAGTGAGAAAAAAAATCACAAAACAGACACACTGACATACAGATACAATACAATTCTGAGTGAGACATGTAAACAGCAATTTAACTTAGTGTCAATGCCTGGATTTGGCCATTGGTAAATTACACCTGAACTTGCACCTGACCTTTGCTCCTTACTAACTTTTGTTTTGTTTGGGTTGTTCTGTATTTTTTTTTTTTGAGACAGCAGCTCACTATGAAGTCCAGGTTGGCCTTGAACTTGCAATCCTCTTTGTCTCAGCCTTTTAAGTGCTAGTATTACAGGCATGTACCACCGAACCTGGACTCCTTATTAATCTCATTTTCCTCATATGTAAAATGGTGATAATAAAATAATTTCATAGGAAAGACTAAATGTATTAATATGTAATTTTTTGTACCGTGCATGTAATACCCAGTATTAGCGATTACTACTATTTTCTTCCAATTTAGCAATCAGCACCAAACTTTAAATTGAGTGTTTTTCCTCATGTACTGGAAAATATGTCCCCTTAATAGATGCAGAGATCAGTTCCATCTAGTCCTATTTCTTAATAACTCTTTGATTCTGAATTAAATAGACTCTGAGTACAAATTTATTCTTCGGTGCTGACCACTATTGTGATACTCAACTTAGGTTTGTATGTAGTTTCCTACTTAAAATTATATTCATACATTCCTAACTGCAGCATTATATCCAAATACGTATTTGTTTTGTTTTGTCTTTTGGGGTGCTAGGGATTGAACTCAGGGCATTGTTCATGCTAGGCAAGTCTTTTTTTTTCTTTTTTCAGAACTAGTGATAAAACCCACATCAATTGCTGTGCCACTAAGCTACATCTCTTTTCTAGCTGAATTCTGATCTATAGATTGGAAAAACATGTTATCAAAACCACTTAACAGATCACAAAGCTAAACATGAACTAATATAAAGTCAATGGAAAAAACGGAAAATGAATTATGTGTTCAGTAAAGCAGTCACTGGATAATAAAAGTATTAAGGATGAATAACTCCGTCTTTTAGACATAGATCTACAAAAAGTATGTCTAAAACAATTTCCACAGGGTTTTCTATTTACCTTTTACAAAGGCGATGGTGATGATGATTATTAACTATATCCTAACTGGCAATTTAAGATAGCATTCTGGCTTTTTAAAAAAAATCTAAGTCATAAAAAGAAGAGATTTGGGGATAATTTATATGGGAACACTCTGAAAAATGTAAGTGGGCTATTAAACAATAAATCTTAGGCATACAGCATGATAAGGTCAGTGAAAATCAGAACATAAAAATAGCCTATTTAGCAAAGAAATGTGTAGCTTTTATACAGGAAGGCCTATTCAAAGGTATAAACATTTAAACTGCTTCTGTTTCAAATTAAAAATCATAAATATTGCAAATAACATAAAAACAATGTAGTAGAAAGCATACTTACAGAGCAATAAAGAAATTTATCCTGGTATGCTCATTTATAGTAAATTTAGCTCTCTTGAAATAAACAAAGGTCATAGCCAAAAGATACTATAAGGAAAAAAGTTAGAAACTAATATTAATGTTTTGCTTTCATAAGTACAACTTTAAAAGGTAACTTTAAATTTTTCTGATGAATAAGCTAAAACAATGTTATTTATCCTTAATATAGCATCAGTTATTTGAGTATTTTTGCTTCCTATAAACCTATGTAAATAGTGAGAAATGGTTCTTGACAATTTATTATGGTTAAATGGACTCTTTAATTTCATTATAGCTGATAGGTTTTTAAATTAAAACCCCATTTTTTCAAACTTAAATTTCAAGCCTATAGAGAAGATGAAATAATAGTAAATAATCACACTCTTTCACCTACATTTGCCAATGAATATTTTGCTGCATTTGCTTGATATCTCTCAGTGTGTATATATATATATATAAATTTTTCTCTAAATTCTTTTAGTTACAGACATCCATACTCACTTTTCTTGGCGGTGGGGGACTGCTGGGGATGAAACCCAGGGAGACTTGTGCATGCTAATATAATAGTATTAGTTATTTCTATTTAGTCTTCCAACTTAGTAATCAACACCATTTTTAAAATTGATCTCATTTTTCCTATGTACTTGAAAATGTTTCCTTAATAAATGCAGAGATCAGAAGAATAAATTTTTCAGTTCTGATTTTTTCTTTTTCTTTTTTCTTTCTTTTTTTTTTTTTTTTTCCAGTATTGGAGTTTGAACTCGGGATCTACACATTGAGCCACTACGCCAGCCCTTTTTTGTGAATTTTTTTTTTTGAGACAGGGTCTCCCAAACTATTTGCCCAGGCTGGCTTCAAACCATGATCCTCCTGATTTCTGCCTCCTGTGTAGGTAGCTAGGATTACAGGCATGAGCCACTGGAACCTGGCTTCAATTTAAATATTTTTATATGCAGCTCTAACACTGAGCTATGCCCCTCAGCCCTTAAACTCTCTTGTTTAGCTTTTAAGAGTGACTTCTAAATCAGAAATTATAATAGCATGGCTCAATTTTCATGGAAAAATACATTTTAAATGCATTATTACAAAGATAGATTATTAGAAAGAGCCTGCTATTAGGATAAATGCCAGGATGTGACTGTTCAAGTTATAAACAAGCTAAAAATTAACATATTATTTTTTCTCTCATAAAATACTTATTAGTCCTATAGTCACAGGATTGACACCAAGGTAAATCCCAGTTTTCCCATAACTTCCAGGTGAAGGATTCTTAGAAATAGTGTTAAGATAACAGTACTCCTGGTTAGTTACTTTTCAGACACTGCTCCCTGCTGTCCAACAACTTTAATGCACTTAAAATTGTAAAGTGGACAAACCAATTTGGATTATAATACATATATACATAGAAATGTCGCAATGAAACTCCCTGTATAGCTATTTCAAACAAACAAAAAATTTTTTTTCTAAAACGGAGAACAGGAAGGTAAAGCAAGTCCTGTCTGGGGGTTGGTACCAATGGAAAGGAGGAGGATATAAGGAAAGGGTGTACAAGGTAAATGTGGTAGCAATATTATATACTCATGTATGAAAATGGAAATATGAGACCTGTTGAAACCATTCCATGAATTGGGGAATAAAGGAGAATGATGGAAGGGGTGACTCCAACTATGATATGTTGTAAGAACTTTTATAAATGTCACAGTGTTACCCCCAGAACAACAATATGATACTTAAAAAATGTTTAAAAAAAGAGAAAAGAAAAACAAACCAATAAAAAACTTCATTACAACTTCACAGAAACTGGTCTTAAAGCATTTCTGTTCATTTGAAAAAGTGTTAGTAACACTGTGATTATGTTTTAAAAGATAATTTATATTTTAGAGATACATTATGTCTGTGGATAAAATGTCTGAGATTTGCCTCAAAATAACCATCTCTGCTCTTGAACTGTAAGTACTGCTCTTAAGCACTTTGCTCACAGCCAGTTTCCCCCTTCTTTTGGAGAGTGTACTTTCCTGCTTTTACTCCCTCTTGCTCTCAGTAAAACTCTGCTGCTACTTTGCAAAAAACAACAACAAACCCTGTCTCTTGGAGAGAGGGGTTAGAAGAAGAATGGCCATGAGTTGATGATTATTGTAGCCAGATTAAGTGATGTTATGCTTTAAATTTTCTAAAATGAACTTTCCAAAATTAAAAAACTTTTATCTGTCATCTTAAGCATGAAATAAAAAAATTCACTTCAATACAAACTTAGTGGGTGTTTAATCATAAACTAGCCTTCCAAACATTCCCTTTTCTACTGGTTTGTACATTTTAAATGTGATGTGAAGTTATGCTAAACTTTCTATATGACTACTTAGTATAAAATGGTATGTACAAAAGTAAAATAATAACTACTCACCTAATTCAAAAACAGAAACAAATTCTGAAATTTGCGTCCACACACAAAAAAAACATAATCACTTACTGTTCCTAAAAGTTACACATTATTTTATGAAACATTAATTTCTAAATAACGTTAAACTAATTTTACCATATAAGATTATTGAAATTTGCTTTATCTGAATTACTTATAAAATATTAACATGTATAAGAGACTGCCTGAGTTGAATGAATCTCAGAATATTTTCTCCCCAATCTGATAAAAGGAAATATTCTGACCCCAAATGTATTGAATCTAGCCAAGCATAGTGGTACAAGCCTGTACTCCCAGCATTCATGAGGCTAAGGCAGGAGAATTTTGAGTTTGAGGCCAGACTGGGCTATATGAAAAAAAAGGAGAGAGAAAAGTATTAAGTCTGCATTGTTTCTTATTTTTAATTAGATATGAATTTAAGTCACTTATATCTAATAAATATTCATTGAATCTATGCTATATGCTAATTCAAAAAATTAATGTGCAAGGATTACCAAATTTACCTTGTCTGCAATTTTACAGCAGCAGTCCATCCACAAGAAATCTTGAATTAAATCATCATCTACAACAAAAGACAGCTATGACTTGTCTTTTAAAAATAGCATGTTTTCCTTTTGTAGAGTTAATTTCTCTATCATGGTATTATAAATGATGTTTAGAAATCAAACAAAAATGCCTGGACCAGTATTGTCAAAGTGTGGTTTTCAGTTTTTAATATATATGCCATTGTAAAAACTACTACCTTATCTTTCATCTTCCCATCTGATTTGCTTGTTCCTAAGTATACAGCTCAGCTTTAGAGAAGAATAGGCATTTGGTTTATTGAGCATCTAATATGTTGGGTAACTCTAGCTCTTCATTCCTTTCCAGAATCAGTATTAACAGGTAGAAGTGGAGTAATGGCTTACTGAATACATTTCTAATATGTTTTACTTTTTCTATTACTCCATTTAGGTTTCAGGGTATTTTTAGTTTTGGGTTCTTTCCCTCTCCTATTTATCTCTGTTCCCCTCAACTATTATTGAAATGTATATGAAAAACCCTATATAAAAAGGTTTAAAATTCACTAGCTATTTATATATACTTAATTTTGGGAAAACTGAGTATTAGGACAAAAAATTAACAAATAAGGTTAAGAATAATATCCAAAAAGATCAAAAATACTTATTTCAAATTTAAAGCACTAAAATACATAATCTGAAAATATACTGTAGTTATCAGACTATAATCTAGGAAAATCTAGGGTTTATTTTTTTTCCCATTTCAGGCTTTCATTTTAAGTAACATGTTTATGTGCTACAAATATCATCAATATAATCAAATATTTGGAAAGTTCCAAGAATAACTACTGATTTCCTTATAATTAATTTCTATCTTATTAATTCCATTTTTGTTTCTTAAGTTACCTAAAATATTTTCTCATGACCAATTGTGAATCTAAAAAAAAATTGTGGGTAATAAATTTGTTCTACTTTTTTTTTTTTTTTTTTTTGTGGTCTGGGAACTGAACTTAGGGCCTTGTACTAGCTAGGCAAGTGCTATACTACTTGAGCCACACTGCCAATCCTCTGTTTACTCTTAATAAAGCAAAACTTGTATTACCATTCTAGATCCTGCTCTACTTCCATTCCTTATATATTTCTTCCTCTTTTTTCCTTATATCCCTTTTACTTTGATTTTCTTTACATCTTTCCCAGTTTATCTCAATGCACCTGGCCTTCCTCTATAAAGGAGGAGGCCTGCTACCTGCACCTACCAGTTGTGGTGTCTTACTTAACTTGATTCATTCCCACAGATACTTATCAGAACCCACCTATGCTATCCCTTATTCTAATCTGTGTACCTTGTTACCATAGCTCCCTTTTTCTTTCTTGGCTACTAGAAGTACCATAAATAAGGGTTTTTTTTGTTTACTTGTTAAGAAATTTATCAACAAAGTAGCACTGTCTCATGATTTGAATAAAATCAAACTCAATTTCATTATATGAACATGATGATAAAACATTCTTAATTTTTAACAACATTCCCAAGATATAATACTGAAACTTTTTTAGGTTAACCAACATTTCCCATTTGTTTGGTTTTAGCTATGAAAGTCCTGGGAACCCTCTCAAGCCTAGTCAAATTAGATTGGTAGCTTGCCTGAGTCTTTTTTTTTTTTTTTAAAACTTCAAGCCAAGTTTACTTACTTCAGGACTGTCTAACAAAAATATTCTGTCAGCTACTCATGATCTGAATTCTGGTGTTGTGAGATTAAATTATGGTACACATAAAAAGCCATGAGACATTTCTATTTTGTAATACATAAGGCAGTGGCTATTACCCATTGGTAGCTTTTTTGAGATAAGCTATCAAGTCTGCTCTTTCTCCCTTCTTATTAATGCCAGCAAAGATCATTTTTGTTCCAGGGATGTACTTTTTGGGACTCTCCAAATACTCCATCAGTGTACCTCTCCCCAGGTGATGCCTTTGTTCTTGTTGTCATCTGTGTAAGAGAATCCAGTGGCCAGACCTGTCTTGTGCCCAAACATGGAGATTTGGCTTAGTCTTGTGCTTGCCTCCCTTTTCCATGGTGTGACACTGGGCATCCTTCTGCTTGAGCCACTCCACCAGCCCTCAGGGCACATTTCTGAACAAAAGCTCTTCTTGTCTTTCTCAGTGTCACTCATTTTTAACTTGCTCTTTTGTCGCTATCACAATGAAAGAAACTGCACTGCTCGGAAGCTAGACGCCCTGCTTGCTCACTTGAGTCTTTATGTGCTATTTTACTTTAGATCAAACAAAATTCTTGCAATTAACCTGAATTTTTCAGAATCTATACTTGCCACGTAGTTTTAAGTAGGCTAGAAGTCGGATGAGTCTAAATTTTTAATCCATAATCATGCAAAAACAAAAACCCAGCATTAAAAAAAAAGACTGACAACAAAACCAAATTTGGTTGGTGATGGGAAATTTGACAGAGAAAATAACACCACCATCTTTGGTCATTTTGAAAATGATAATTTTCTTTTGGTGGTGTGGGATTTGAACTCAGGGCCTTGCATTTGCTAGGCAGGCACTCTACTACTTGAGCCATGCCCCCAGCTTTACAGTCTAGTTTTTATGTACTTTATAACACACTATTAAAACATTTTAAACCTACCAAATAATTTAAAGAAAGCAGTCATTTCCTGACGCTGTATTACTAAACAAGGTCCTTTGGGACATTTAGATTTGCTGTTATATGCATTTTTTTCGGATGCTTGCCAACTATCTTTAAAAATAGGACGCTTCAGATTAATGGGTTTTCTAGGCAGATGTGATCTATTTGACCCTGACTTTACATGAACAGTGACTGTAGGTGGTGTCTCACAACACATCTGATTGTGCCGCATCCTGGTTTCCCAAGATTCCTGTAAAAATAAAACAGGCAATTATTTATCAAACTCATTCATTTCTATATAAAAACTAATTGGATGATACTACTACATGCAGTCATATAAGATGTTACTGACCTTGCTATTAAAAGTGTTATTTGTGATAGTGATTCACATTAGAATTTGGTTTTAGAATTCGGTGCTAGGAAAAACTATGCTACCTGTGAGTAATTAACATATTTCCTCTTTTCCCCCAAAATAAGAGACTGTATACTATTTTGCTTTGTAGTCCCAGCCTCCTTAGTGCTGGGATTAAAAGTGTAAGCTAATACACCTGACTCTCCTGCTAAATTTTTCACTGCTTCAGTTGGCATAATTTTATTATATCATTGTTAAATGCCATCTCAAAATTTTTTAATAGAACAAGGCAAAATAATACCAGAACTTAATTATTAAGTGTTATATTAAAAAGCAACCTCTTCCCTAAAAAGCCAAAATCTTGTTGGTACGTTCCTTGAAATATTACAAAGTTTGCTTATTCAGTAAGCATTTATTAGTATTTATTAACAATTCTAGTGCCAGATGTGGTGGTGCATGACTGTAATCCCAGCTACTTGGAAGGCAGAGACAGGAGGATTGCAGTTTGAGGCCAGCCTGAACAAAAGTTAGCAAGACTCTATCTCAAAAATCAATCCAGGTGTGGTGGCACAGGCCTAAGGTCCCAGTTCCTTGGGAGGCAGAGGTTGGAGGATCGAGGTCTTGGCTGGCTTGAGCAAAAGTATAAGACCCTACCTGAAAAACTAAAATAGAAAAGGGCATGCCAATAAAAAACTTGCCTAGCAAGTGTGAGGCCCTGAGTTCAATCTCCAGTACCATCAAAACCAAAAAAAAAAAAAAAAAAAACCGATTCAAGCAAAGAAATGTATGGTACATGTGCTTTGGAGGATTTTCATTAATTGATCTCTCTAAATTTAAAGTTGTAAGTGTATGATTGACCTATCTGAATGGCTGGTTGTAAGTGTACATGAATATACAGTGCTATGAACTAATAAAATCTGAAACAATCTATCAGTATTTAACAATAGGCATGCTCACTACTTTGATGGTGATTAGTAAACGTAATTACTAGTCAGTGTTACTTTTATGGTCAAAGTATTTCTACGGTAATGGAAAGTGGAGGTGTGAACAGGCAAAGCAGGGACCAAAACCCTAAGGAGAACCTCTGAATCCATGACTACTGTGACCCAGACAGGCATGCCTCCCCGTGGTGTTCAAGGAGTTAGGTACAGAACCTCCTTCCTGACCCTCAGAAACTTACCTGCTGAAGGAAGGAATGGAGAATAACATTGGATGTGGTAAGGTAAGAGCAGCACTAGCATTGTCTGACACAATGAGAACCATATACATAATTACATATATATTTAGAGCCATGTTTAAAAAGAAATGACTTTTAATGTATTAATATAACCCAATATCAAAAATATCATTTTAACATGCAATCTATATAAAAATTAATGATATTTCTGCTTTCTGTGTCTTTGAAACCTGGAATGTATTTTATACTTTCAGCATATCTCAATTTTGATGCTATTTTTAAACAGTTTACAAGAAATGTAATCCTATCAAAAAAAATTGGAAGTACTGGGCTGCTGGTGGAGTGGCTCAAGAAGTTGTAGAGTACCTGCCTAGCAAGGCCTTGAGTACAACCCCCAGTACCACCAAAAAGAAAAAAAAAGAGAGAGAAAGAAAAAGAAAAAAATGAAAATAAGAAAAATATTTTATATTCCTTCAGTTTTTAGACTTAAAAGTAAAAATTAAATTGCATCCAGCCACATTCCAAGTATGTAACAACTGCTGCATTTGACTGGAGTACTAGACAATACAAGGGTAATTATGAAGAAGGTAACAGAGGGTAGCTAGGCGTGGTGGGGTGCACCTGTAGTCCCAGTTACTTGGAAGGCTCAATAAAGCCCACTGAGTTTGAGATCAGCCTTGGCAACATAGAGAGATCCCATCTCAAAAAAACAACCCAAACCAAAAAACCAAATGACAACAACACAAAACTAAGCAAAGAAATTATATTTAGTTAATACTAAAATTATTTCTCTTCCTCTATTTTGCTTCCCTCCCCCTATTTCTCTTCCTAGATTCTAAGATCCAGCTAAGTTGAAGACAGTGATGGAATTGGAGTGGGGGGTGCTACAAGCTCCAAAAGAAAGATGAATAAATGATAAATTGAGGCTTGAGACTTTTGTAAAAACTTGCTATTCTCTCCTACCCACCTCATCCAAGAGAGAGATGGAGGCCTCATGGGCATCCTTTCAAAATAAGAGCAACTTTATATGTGGATGGCAAACTGCACTCAGGCTTCTCAAATTGGGGTGGGGTGGGGCTAGGCTCTGGTGTATGATGTACCAGAACACAGAATAACTGTGGCACATCTTCTAGGAGGCAAGTTTTACTCATTTACTCAATGTTAAGTAACTTTATTTTTTGCAGTACTAGGGCTTGAACTCAGGGCCTTCACCTTGAGCCACTCTGCCAGACCTTTTTGTGATGGGTATCTTTAAGATAGGGTCTTGTTAACTATTTGCCCAGGCTGGCTTTGAACTGTGATCCTCCTGATCTCTGCCTCCCGGATAACTAGGATTTACAGGCATGAGTCACCTGTGCTTGGCCATGTTAAGTAACTTTAAGTGGTGTTTTTATATTGAAACAACAATGGGTAAGTCATGAAATATAATGCAAATTTCCTATCAATCAAAAAGATAAAATACCATGCTCACAGTAGGCTTTTTGACACTATTCCATGAAATCCTTATGTATGTACTGAGCTACTTATTACACATTTTGAGAAAACTGAAAGAAGGAACTGTCTGAAATTCTCAAGATTCACTGAATAAGCAAACACTAAAGTTGTAAAAAATAAAAAAATAAAAAAAAAACCCAACAACTTACAGAGAGAGGCACTCAATGTTACGGTCTTGGTCAAATTCCACCTTGAGGTAGCTTTTAATTTTGCTTTGTTTATATATACCAAAAGAATCAGAGTTCTGATGGCAAGAGGAAAAGAATAAAAGGCAAGTTAAAATATGGGCCATTTCTCAAGGACAAAAGACAGGGAAAGAGGGGGAACTAGGAAAAACTAATGTTCATATGTTAAAATCCTTTCTTTTTCCTTTTTCTTTTTTGTAAATACATCTCATGAATTTTTTTTTTTTAACATATCAGGGCTTTTTGCTTGCTAGACAGGCGCTCTACCCCTTGAGCCAAGCCCCCTCATCAATTCTATAGGCATCTGAAATATTTTCTTCTCTTTGGGAGTAATGTAAAGGGAAGTGACCCACAGAATCATAAAATAAAAGAAGGAGAAGTTTGGGGATTCATTTACTTACACAAAAAATCTACTGGCAACTCAGGGCAAGCAGGTAAGCTTTAACTTCCTTATAATTGCAATCACACACTGAGCACTTAATATGTGTCAGACACAGGGCTAAATGTTTTAAATACATTATCTCTTTAATTACCAAAACATCTCAGGTTTACCTTATTTTCTAGAGAAGTTAGGAAATTTGCCCATAAACCACATAATTACTAAGTATAAAGATAGGTCTTAAATCCAGGCTGTCTCACACTGAAATCCCATATTTGACCACCAAACAACTGTTTTAGGGCTGGATACCAATGGCTCACGCCTGTAATCCTAGCTACTCAGAAGGCAGAGATCAAGAAGATAGCAGTTGGAAACCAGTCCCAGGCAAATAGTTTGTGAGACCCTATCTTCAAAAACACGATCACAAAAAAAGGGCTGGCAGAGTGGCTTAAGTTGTAGACCATCTGCCTAGCAAGCATGAAGCCCTGAGTTCAAACCCTAGCACAAAAAAATAAGTTTTAGGACTGGAGGCGTGGCTCAAGTGGTAGAGTACCTGCTACACAAACACAAAGTCCTGAGTTCAAACCCCAGTTCTACTAAAAAAAAAAAAAAACTTTTAAATATTAAGTGAAAGCATGTATCAAGCTCTTGACACATAGTAAACACTACCTAAGGCTATTTTTTTTTTTTTTTTTTTGGTGGGACTGGAGTTTGAACTCAAGGCAAAGCAGGCACTCTACCGCTTGAGCCACAACTCCAGTTCATTTTGCTCAATTTATTTTGGAGGTGAGGTCTCAAGAGCTATTTGCCTGAGTTGGCCCTGAATGGAGATCCTCCCAATCTCAGCCTTCCTAATAGCTAGGATTACAAGTGTGAGTCACCAGTGCCCAGCACTAAGACTACTCTTTATATGAATTTAGCTCTAGCATTTGGAGGATAAATGAGCATAATAAATTGTGACTTAGTGGGGTTTTCTTTTCTTTTCTTTTTTTTTTCTTGTGTCACCCAGGCTGGTCTTGAGCCTTTGGACTCTAGTAATTTTCCTATCTCATTTGCCTGGTAGCTGTGACTACTGACATGTACAATTCTGGCTCAACTTAGTGGTTAAAGCAGCCATTACCGTGAAGATTTTTTTTTTTTGGGCACCAAGAATTGAATCCAGGCCCTTGTACATAATCACCTTTCATATAAAATAACTATTAAAAAGACTACTGAAATGACTACAACATTTTTTCTATCTTAACCAGCAGAATTTAATTATTTAGACAGTAATATAGGAAAATAATCTGGCAAAATTGTTGGAAGTTTGCTGGTGCTACTGTCAAACCTCCACAATGTTGATGGTTTGAAAGTTTTTTAGAATTTAATCATCTAATGATTATAAAAGGCTTTGACTTCAGCCAAGGGCTATGTGCTAAGGGATGTGTAAAATAATTACACTGAAAGGCGGTTTCAATAAGTTCAAATCTGATTAGCGATCTAACCTATTGGTGAATAAAGGAGCATAACATATAATACACTTCCACGAAGTGGTAGTCATGATATCTAGAAAATGAGGCAGGAGTCGTGAACGTGTGGACTCTCCCCCACCACCAGGTTTTTTGTTTTGTTTTGTTTTTTAATGTGACAATAATTAGAAGAAAACGAGGAGCAGCTA